ATGTTATTATGCAGACTACACATATCTATCACAGGATGGTTTCCTAGCTCTGTTCATAACTTCTCCAGAGGTGTACATATCAAGTAAGGTGGTGGTCCATTAAAAACTTGGCTACACTGACATTAGGCAGTACTAGGTGGGAGTCACACTCTGCCCACCCATGGCCACCCCACCTGCATTCCTACCATCAAAAGCCAGGACCTCAATCGCCATCTTCCTATAGCCTTTTTCTTTTCCATTTTGTGCCTTTGCCTCTTTCAGCCAGAACCCATGACTCCTACTTCCTTCCACCTTGATATTGTGTGCCCACCATCCCAGTGTTCCTTCATTGTCAAGCCTTCCCCATTCCCACTTTATCAATCTTTGTAGTCCACACAGTGGAAGTCACTACCTCCAGCTGGAGCAAGGTAGGACGTGTCTGGGAGCAGCACACAGCTTGTGGGATGTTTCAGAGTGGTTGGTTTGAATGAGGCCGTGGATATGAAGACCCAGAACCATGATCCCCTTGTGATATCCATATATGTTAATTACATACACGCTGTGAATCTGGATTCATTATAAAGTTCAATAAGATTTTTTTCAATGAAAAGCACTATAGCAGTATAGAATGTTGTTATGAGGTAAAACACAGACAGAAATATTAACCTAACATCTGTGGTCCTCATTTCCAGATTACGGAAGAGCTAAGCAATGCTAAATGCCTGAATAAACACCTTAAATTAGAAAATAAATCTGTGTGCCAGAAGTATGAACAAATATTGGAAGAAGAACAACACTGTACTAACAAAAGGTATGAAATGGTGGCAAAGTAGGTTTTACCTGTCAGCATTTAAATACAGATTTCTCTAAGCTTGTGATTTAATGACTAAGGCTTTTCTTGCTACATAGTTAGATCATGTTTCTGACAATATATATAACTTTTTTTTTTCTTCTGGTAGATCGGGGAAATTCTCTGTTTTGTTGGATGAAAAGCTTGAATTTCTGGCAAATCATATGGTGGAAAAGAAAAACTTAGAGAAGGAAACTGAAAATCTTGAAGACAGCCTACAGTATGTAACCTTTCAATATTGACAATAGTAAATGGTCTTAGTGCTGTTTACTCAGAAGTTCAGGTGGTTTAAGAGATTCTGAAATGGAATATTCCATAGGAAAGTTACATAAGTTTATAAACCATACTAAGCTGGTATGAAGCTTCATACAACAAAGAAGTTAGCTGCCAGTTACCCTCATTTAATCTGCTGTTTCTTGTCCCCAGGCAATGAACATACAAATAAGGAAGGATATTGAAGCAGTGCAGAATGTAGAACTTCACAGTTGTGACTGTGAACTCCATACTGTGGTACCAAGCCTTGGACCAAGCCACTACCCTTTTGTGGTGGTATTTGAGAAAATCTGTTTTTACTCAGATCAGTCTAAGTACAGATTTGTCCTATGTACAGAAGTGCTCTGAAAAAGAAACCTTTGGCTTGTGTAGTCAAAGCAGAACAGACACCCTGCGCAGTGGGGTATGGCAAAAAACCAAAGCGTGGCAGGTCTGTTAGCCTGTAGCTGGTGGAAGAGAGTTGAGATTTTGCTGCCTTAGGTGAGAGCAGGCCAGTGTGTACTGACCCCAGGTATCCCGCATTGGAGCTGTTTCACCTATTTGCTAGAGAATCAGGAGATCAAGACCTTATGTGTACACTAATAATGAAATTCTGTCGTGTAAGAAGGGCAGTCCTGACAAAACGGAGAGCTTTTCTTTTTGTATCTGCTGGAGTGTCACCCTTTGCAAGAGAAAGTAAAAAGGTTGAGATGATTCATTTTATGTCCCCCAAACCTAGCAGAGCCAAATATTTGCACACTTGCTGTGTTTTGAGTGACACAAATCGTCCTGGTTCTGTGCAGCATTTTCTCAGTGTAGCACTGAAGGGACTGTGTTCCTAAGGTCTTCTGTTATTTCAATTTTCCTGAGGAATATTTTATTAACATGGAGTTGCCCTACTTATTGATACAATTATAACTGAAAAGCAAATAATTTCTCCCCTCCCTTTTCATAATGAATAGGAAAACTTACAAGATATTTATATGAGGAGAATGGATCGAGAACAGCCCTGAGAAGGACTTGGGGATGTTGGTTGATGACAAACTCAACATGACCCAAAGTCTACCTTTGTAAAATGCAGTGTGTGCATTTTTCCTGACAAGGGAGATACTGTTGCTGTGTAAATGTGAGATGCAAAACATAAGACCACAAGGTAGCCACACACTGCTAAAAAGGAAGTAGCCTTGCACTGCTGCAGAGGAGGAGAACTTGTAATAAAAGGGCAGTGGGGTATAAAACTGTTAACAAGATAATGAGGTGAAATAATCATCGTACAGCATCTTGACAATAATTGGATATCTACGCTAACGGTTGTTAAGGAAAGGGTTGTAAGAGCTTTCTCCCAGAGTCAACCAGCTCTAAATTTCAGACCCTTAAACTAGACTACATGTAACTGCACAAAATGCATTGCAGCTCTGACCTCTTAGAAAAACTGATTTAAAAAGTACCTTTTCCCTTGCTCCTGTCCCTGTACTTTCCTAGGTTTTTATTTTATATTTGTACATAATTACCTTGTTCTGTGAATTTTCACTGGCTTCACAACATCCCTCTACATCAAAGCCAAAATAGTTTAATTTCAGTTTAATTTCAGACCTCCCAGTTACTTCAACAGGGCCACCAAACTGGAAATCAAAATAAAGATCTCTTGTTAGTTTTTAGTTTCTCTAAAAGTAATATGCAATGTATTGAGAATGTCACCATTTCCTTTGCAAGATTGATTTTTGGTTTTAATGACAAATTTCAAGTTAAGTGTCAGGTTTCATTCAAAGAGGGAAATCTTCTGTCAATTAAACCTACTCAATTGGGAAAGGCACCGACTTGGCAACAGTGAGCATAGTTTTGGAAAGTATGGAATAGGAGTAGTATGATTTTTTCAGTGGTATCTAAGAATTATTTGGGACACATTCCGCTAGTATTAAAATGTGTAACATTAGTGGCGTGTTACACTGAGCTTTGCATGTAGAACAATAAAACCTGTGGAAGAAAGCCCAGTACTACCTCTCTGTAAATCCTCATGGGATTTGGAATGGTTGCTTCCCATGACCTTTCTGTCTTGAAGGAATGAAAATCACTGGTTTCACATTAGCAACTTTTCATATTGTACTGAACTCTTGTAGCATGCATCGAATGCACATAAAGTCCGTGCATGTTAATATTTACCACACACGACACACTAGAAAATACATACTGAGAAATTAAAATAAGTTGATTTGTCAGACTGGCCAGAAGTTCTACTTCTGAAAATATTCTTTCATAGTACTTGCTACTAACACATTAGAGTGATTGTTGATTTCTGAAACATCCATTCTTGTGTTCTGCATTTCTTTCTTGATCTGGCTTGAAAAAACAATCCTCCTGGATTTGCCTCGATTCCTAACAAGAGCCTCTTGATTTAAACTGATGTTTCCAATCTGAGAAACGACGTGTTAATACACAGTGATGGTTTAACACTATTATATGTGTAGTTTTTTGAGATATGACTTTCTCTATTGTCTTTCTCTAACTAGTGTAAGTGCTTAACGTGGTGGTTGGTGGGAAGAAAATTTTTAAAACCTCTACAGAAATTTTGACATAGAGTAAGCACTCTCCAAATCTTCAGCATTATTTCTGAAAGTTTATCTTTCCCTCACCTCTAGAAAGATTAAGGAGAGCCACGCAGAAGAGCTGGCATCTCTAAAGCAAGATTTGAAGGCAGAAAATAAGATGAGGTAGGATGAACTAGAAAGTGTGCATTCTATATTTAAAACAAAGCAGCAAATTAATGAATTGCTGCATCTTGTTACAGCTATTATATCAGAGATATAAAACCAAAGCCTTACTATGTAAATATTCAGTAACACAATGGCAAATAATAGGGCATCTTCTCAAGTATATCCATTGTTTCATTTGAATATTATTGCTATAGTGCCAGGTGGTGAGAACCACTGAACTTACTGTGTAAGTGGTTTTTAATCGTTCTGACACTAAATGTTCTACTTTCTTTTATAAGTTATTTTGGATTTTTCCAGGATATGGACACTTATGTAAACTGGGTTTTTAAATTTTATTTTATTT